TCCTGGGGAGAATCGCATCTTCCTGTTTACTGTTCCCTTCATCATTATCTAGAGCTCGCCTGTCTCTTGTTACCTTGAGTAGCTGTCAAGTCTGTTTCACCTGACGTCAGCAGTGTTGTCTTCGGGTCCCCTTTGCTTGTAGGACTGTTTCAGCCGTTTACTTGCAGACCGTGTTTGTCTTGGGAATCACGTGAGCGTCCTAAAGACGGAAGGAAGGCGGGTTTTGTTTTCTGATCCAAACGTCCCGCTGTGCCTTTTGATTCTTGAGTTCAGTCTGTTTACCTTCAGGGTAATTATTGATCTATGTCCTTAGTTTTCTGTCTCTGTTTCCTGGTTCAGTTTGTGGCCGTCCTTTGTTTGATTTAGGAGTGAGAACTTCAGCATTTCTCGTGGAGGTCGTCTAGTGTTTGCAGACTCCTTCAGCTGCTGTTTGTCTGAGAAGGACTTTACTTCTCCCTCCTGTCTGACGGCGTGGGTTTCTGTGTTCTCTTGTGTATGTTTGATCAGGTTTTTTGTGTGTGTTTTCTTCCATTTCTTGATCATGACAACTTTCACCTCCGTATCTGATAGGAAGAAAAGATCTTCCATGTCTTTGTGGTGGAGTCTGGAGCTTTGTTCCTTCAGGCTCCTGAAATATCCCCTTGAGGATTCAAGGTGCCCTGTAGATCCCCATCTTTCCCATTTGCTGGTGTTTCAACTGTGTCCTCAGGGGGCAGAACTCCCACTTTCCAGTAGATGGTGCTGTGGGTTTATTTGTTTATTTAGCTTTTCCTGGCTTGACATAATAGTATTTGTATTTTGGGGAACATTGATCTGCAGCAGTTGAGTCAATAGGGGTATGGAAGGGTCCAGTCACTGATGAAAGTGTTTTGGGGGGTGGCTTGTGTTTGAGGGTTCTGCTGCTGGCCCTCATCCCTGGGTTTCCAGACCCAGGGTTCTGCAGTCTGCAAGCCGTGCTGTTGTGTTCCACAGACTCAGCTTGAGTTCCTCGCAGGGGGAGCGCCATTCTGCACCGTCTTCTTCACTGGGGACTCAGCCCATCTGGGGTATACTGGCTTCTTCACATGTATCTCCCCTCGGGTACGCTTGCACCTCTACACTAGTGAGCTCTCCCACCCCTGGGCCATCAGCCCAACGTGGTCAGAGCTCTGAGGTCAGCTTTTGGTGCGTCTCCGCCCGCCGCTTGCTGTATGGAGTTGAGTCTCCTCAGTGTTCCTTCCGGAGCTGTCGGCATTGGTCTCCAGTGTCCAAGATGTGGCCTCATTTTGCCCCGAGTCACAAGATTCTTTCCAACACAGTCTTTTCTGAGGTGTCTTTTCCCACTGTTGGTAGATGTCTGAGCTCCAGTTTGTTCAAGCATTTCTTTCGGGGGGATGCCTGGTGTTTGGGTGCCTCAGCCTGGGTGGGGGTGGCAGGGGCTTTGGGTGGCCCAGCAGGGCTTTGAGCAGTGGCCTCTTCTGTAGGGGAGTCCAGGTGTTCTGACTTGATTCGGGCCACAAATGTTGTCTGTGAAGAGCCTCACATGAGGGTCAGTGATCCTCTCTGTGTGCACGCCCCCATAGCGCTCCACCAGTGCACCCTTCGTCCTAGATGCCTGCTCCTGCACCCCTTTCCCCGTGCAGGAGCCCCAGTGTCGGTGTGTGTTTGAGCCAACAGCTGCAGGGGCTCTGCACAGCAGCCCGCATCCCCCCTCTGGCAGGTGGTCCTGCCCCACGTCTCCCTAAGCAAAGTGCATTTAAAATTTTTCTTTCCTCTTTCCACTGGGCTGGTTCTCCTGTTGTGTGCCCTGGTCCTCAGTTCTCCCCTCAGGGCAGTTTTGTTGTGAGTTTCTGGAGGAGGCTCCACTTCTTCACTCTGCAGCCATCTTGCCAGCCCTTTAAGTAGATGGACAAAGCCACAGTTACATTGTTCACATACAAATAGACACATAGTAACAGAAAGTGATTGTTATCATTAAGCAAAAACAGACTTTAAAACAAAAAATGCTACTAAAGATAAAGAGGAACATTGTATATTGAAAAAAGTTTCACTCCAGGGCCTCCTGGTGGCACAAGGGGTTAAGATGCAACTTGTGAATCTGTCTGTAGGCACTGCAGCACGAGTTCCATCCCCCGCCAGGGAGCAACCCACATGGCGCAGCAGACCCCTCCTGTCTCCCCGCTGCTCCCCTCAGCAGTGGTTTTCAGTCGATCCACCTGTTCTGCTCCCCACTCTGTCTCTGGTGAATCCCTCACCCCCCACACCTCTGGCCTGTACCCCAGTTCTTGTATGCACACATAAATAAATCTTTAAAAATGAAAAAAGTTTACTCCATCAGGAAGATACAGCAACTATAAATATATATGTACCTAACAACAAAAATTATTAAGTAAAACTGACCAAAATGGAGGGAAAATTAGAGAACTGAATAGCAGCAACTCTAATAATGAAAAGAATAACTAGTCTGGAGGCAACAAGAGAAGAACTGAACAGCATGAAACACCGCGACGTAGCAGATAGAACATGGACCGGCTCTTCTCAAGCACCCAGGAATATTTTCCAGGATAAATCATATACTAGGCCATAAAACAAACCTTGAAAAGTGTTAAGAAGATAGCAATGATATGAACTGTTTCCTGGCTATAATAAAACCAAGTTAGAAAACAATAATGTAAAGAAATTCGTGACACTCACAAATGTAAGAACCTTCTTTATGTAATTCTTGAATGGGAAATACAGATCGCATTATAGCCCAAGCATACAAGTGAATTGTAACCAGTCAAATTTGAAGGGCTAATAAGCTTCCAGGAGAAGCTGAAACTCTTCAGTGACCTTCTGCATTTTTCTTGTGATCTGAGACTGAGTAATTCTGGAAGGATTAGAGTAAAAGGTTCACTGGGAAATCAGCTGTTCCAAGAATAATCATAGATTTCATCACAGCACTTCAGCCTTTATGTGTATGTTTGCACATGCCGGAAAAAAATCATCTCATTATCAGAAATGCTGAGACTCTGTTAAGTAGCTTTAAATGATGGGTGGCAGAAGGTTATTAGCAAGACCCTTACAGAAGGTTGGAAGTCGTTTCAGAGTTTATAGTTTGTAGCTTGTCAACAAGATTTACATAAATTGCCTTCTGGAGACCATAGTACTTTAGCGGTAGATGCCACTTCGTTCCTTGCAAAAATAATAGTTCCTTGGAGTCCTCGGGCCTTACATAAAATAAATGGTATGATTATTTAAATATTAAAACCAAAATTCAAAATTAAAATACTGGTTACTGTCCGTGGCATTCGTACCTGTGGTCAGTGTCATTTTAGCTACTCTCGCTAGTCCTGGTCAGCGTGATGGCCTGTTCCCTCACGCCCGGTAGGTCTTCAGGGGCCTGCCTCGGCCTGCCCCAGTCAGAGGCCGTAGTAAGGCAGTATAGGAAGGGGCTGCTTTTGCTAGTATCACTTGTAGGACTCTCTTACTGGAGCTCACTTTTCTTAGCAAGGGAGGTATTGGGTGATCCTTTCTCTACTTTTCATCTTACGTTGTGCCAGGGAGCGGGTGTTCTAGGAGAGAGTGCACAAAATAGGCAAACATTTCTGCCTCAAGAGCTGACATTTCAGCAGTAGAAAACAATGAAATAAATCAGTATGTTGGAAGCTGGTGAATAATATGCGGGGAGACAAGGATGGAGAACAAGGGAATGTTGGGGGTCGGGAGCTGCGATTTCCACAGGGTGGTCAGGGAGGGGCCCGCTGAGGAGAGGACACTTGGGGAGCGCTCAGACCCCGGGAGGAGCCGTGCGGGTATTTGGGGAAGACCATCCCTGCAGGAGCGAGGGCCGAGCTGGCTTGCTTGTCACTTTTTCCTCTGCCAGGTCCCTCCTCCGCGGGTTTGGTCATGGCGGAGAATGGGGGGAAACGTAGACGCTCTGGTTCATTTGGGTGTTGGCTGTCAGAGCCTGTCTTTTCCCTCCATCCTGCACCATCCCCTTCAGCTCCCTGTCCGCCCCGTCGGCCCGTGGAGAAACGACAGCTGTGCTGAGGAGCAGCTGCCTCGGCTCTCGCGGGGTGGAGGAGGGAGAAGACAAGGTCCAATTTCAGCGTCTCCCTCTGAAATCCTGCTTGGGCAGTTCCGCGGCTGAAGGGAGGTCTCGGGACTCTCCAGTGCTGGGACAAAGGAGAAAAATCCTCAAAAAAAGACCAAAAATAATAGGTGATTCCATTTCTCCCCATCGTCTTAGAGACACACGGCTCAGAGCAGCGGAGGCGCCGGAGCGCGTGTCCGGTGTGACGTCTGGACGTCTCTGGGGTCTCGGGGGCTGGAAAGCCTCAGGCCCCGCGTGAGCTCCGCCGTCGGAGAAGGGCCTGGGCGCCCGCGCGGGCGGGAACAGGCGGAGCGAGCCCGCGGCGCGGGGTCTCCTGGGCGCAGCCCGTGTCCGCCGGCCCGGGAGGCGGGTCCGGGCCCCGAGCGCCGGGAGCGCCCCGCCGCGAGGGAGCCCCGGGTTCCGCGGCCCCCGGGAACCGTCGGGCCCGGTCCGTCCGGTGGCCTGGGGGGCCCCGCGTTCCCGGAGCCTCCTTTCGGCGGGTCCCGGGGTCGGCGGATTCTGCTGCAGCGCTCGGCCCCCCGCGGCGTCCCCCGCAGCCCCGCCTGGCGTCCCGCGGCTGCCCGACCGGCCCGCGGGGGGCGGGGGGGCTGCGCCCGGGGGTGCGGGCGCCCCCGCGCTGCTCCGGGCGGGGCGGGGGCCGGGGGCGCGGCCCGCCGGTCAGGCCACGTGCTGGGGTGCAGGCGGCGGCGGCCGGGGCGCCCCCACGGCCCCGGCCGAGCGCGCTGGACCGTCCGGCCCCTGCGCCCCGCGGGGCGCCCTCGCGGCGGGGTCCGCTGCCTCGCGCGAGGCCCCGGGGTGCGGGCCGAGCCGGGGCGCGCGGCCGCGGAGGTGCCGCCCCAGAACCTGGCGCCGCGCCCGGCGGGAGGCCGCGCCCTCCCGGATGCGGGGCGGGAGGCGGCCGGAGCCGGCGGCGGCGCCAGGGGCCATGGAGGCCCTTCCCGGGGGCGCGGCGGCCGGCGGGGCGCGGGGGGCGCGCGCGGCGGCCCTGGTCAGCGGGCTGCTGTCCGCGCTCTACAGCGGCGCCGACGAGGCGGCGGCCGGCGGGGGCCGCGGCGCGGGGGGCGGCGGCGGCGCCGCGACAGCTCCACCGAGGCCTCGGGCTCCGACGCGCGGCTGGGCGGCCCCGGCGACTCCCGCGCCCTGCAGGAGCTGCGCGCGCGGCCCGGCCCGCGGCACCAGGCGCGCTACCTGCGGCAGAAAGGTGAGCCCGGGGCGCCCCCCCCCCCCCGGAGCGCGGCTCTCCGCCCTGGCGCCCGCGGGGACCCGGCTCCGACCCGACGCCCCCTCGCGCGCGCGGGGCTCCCCGGTCTCGCCCGGAGCGCGGCGGCGTCCACGAGGGCGGGGAAGGGGCCCGGGGCGAGCTGGGCTTTCCCCGCCCCCCGAGCCGCCCCGGGCCCCGCGCTCGGCCGCGCGCAGCAGGGGGCGAGGACTCGGGGTGCGGCCCCGCGGGCTCCCCGCCAGCACGGCGGGTCCCCCGAGCTCGCCTGCGGGCTCCCCTCCCGGCTGCTGCGCCCCGCGCCGGGCCGGGCGTGCGGGGGAGGCGGGGCCTGCGGGTTCCTCCTCCTACCCGACAGCGCGCCCCGCCTGGCTGTCCCCCGCGCCCCGCCTGTCCCCCGCGCCCGCCCGTCCCCCCGCCCCGCCTGTCCCCCGCGCCCGCCTGTCCCCCCGCCCCGCCTGTCCCCCGCGCCCGCCCGTCCCCCCCGCCCCGCCTGTCCCCCGCGCCCGCCCGTCCCCCCGCCCCGCCTGTCCCCCCGCGCCCGCCTGTCCCCCGCCCCGCCTGTCCCCCGCCCCGCCTGTCCCCCCCGCCCCGCCTGTCCCCCGCCCCGCCTGTCCCCCCCGCCCCGCCTGTCCCCCCCGCCCCGCCTGTCCCCCCGCCCCGCCTGTCCCCCCGCCCCGCCTGTCCCCCGCGCCCGCCTGTCCCCCCGCCCCGCCTGTCCCCCCCGCCCCGCCTGTCCCCCCGCGCCCGGGCCGCGGCCTGGGCTGCGGGCCTCGTGGCCGCGGCGCCCCCGCAGAACGCGCCCCGAGGCGCGGGGAGGACCCGGGGCGGCTTCCCAGCGTGAGCGCAGCCTCGGGTGCCGGAGAGCCCGGCAGGGCCACCCCAGCCCCGGGCCGCGAGGCTGCAGCCGGGAAGGGAGCGAGTCCGGGGCGTCCACGTCCGCAGCAGCCGTCGCGCCCCTCGGGCGTCCCCGGGAAGGTCCCAGCTCGGGCGCCGGCGGCCCCCGCCCACCCCCGCCCCCCGCCCCTGGCCGGCTGGACGCCCCCGCCGCGCCCCTCTGCCGAGGCTGCCGCCCGCGAGCGCACAGGCCGGAGGCCCCGCGGATCCGCCGGGCGCTTGAGGCGCGAGGACGCGACTGGCCTCGCCGGGCGCCTGTCCCCTCCCGGCGCGGGATGTGGGGCCGGTGCTTTCCCGCGGGAGGCGAGCCGGGCGCGGCGCGGGGAGGGGGCAGGCGCGGGCCGCGGGCAGCGGAGGGGCCGCCCGGGGTCTGCCTGCCCGGCTGGGCCCGGCTGGGGTGCGCGGCGTGAGTGCGGGGGGCGGGCGGGCACTGGGGCGCAGGGGACGCTACGAGGAAGGCCGGGGGGGGGGGCGCCGGTGACCGGGTCCCCCCCGCCGCGCGGGCCGGGGGCACCGTCCAGGGGTGTCCCGCGGGGTCTTACCCCCCCCCCCCGCCCGCGCGGCTCCTGGGGAGGCCGGGCCGTCTCCCCGCGTCGTCAGGGGGTGACCCCGGCAGGGCTGCGGTGACTGTGTCAAGTGACCAGGGCGCGTCCAGCCGTTGTTGTCGTTTCTGCACCACCCGCCCGCCCGGAGAGCCAGCTGGGCCCCGGGCCTCTCGCCTCCCCTCGGGGTCGATCCGTGAGAATCAGGGGGCGCAGGTTCCCGCCGTCAGCCCGAGCCCCTGCATGTTCTCCCGCGCGCCGGTGCGGCCGCCGCGCTGGACTCCGGAGAGAGAAAGGACAGAGCCCGTCCCCTCCCGCAGGGTCCTTCTCTCTCCCCGCCCAGGGCTCGCGGGCGTCCCCGCGCTGTCCACGCTGCTGCTCGCCGACCGTGTTCCGTCAGCGTCGTCCAAGACTCGGGGCCCTGCCTCGCCGGGTCCCACCCGCGCGCTGGGCGACGGGGCTCTGGATGCTTCTCTTGCCCTTGGGGCCTGCTGGCACCCCGGCGTCCTCCTCGGGCCTTTATTGTTCTGTTTTTGCTCTTCCGGCAGACGCGAGCGAGCTGAGGGCGCTCCTGGAGGAGCTGCGCGGCAGGACGGGCCTTCTGTCGGCCAAGCTGCTGCGGCAGCTGAAGCAGAGGGACCGGCTGCTGCGCGAGGCCCAGAGGAGCTGCGACGTGCTGACCGCCTGCCTGCAGGCCGCCTCGCCCAAGAGGAGTGAGTGCAGCCGCGGGGTCCTGGCCCGAGGGGGCTGGCCTGGAAGCCTTGCCCCGGGGCGCACCCCAGCCCTGAGGGCCACGGACAGCTTAACGCTGTATTTTTAGTTAAACCCGTTATGACGCGTCCGACCTTACAAATGTAGCTTTATTTTTTTAGGGTTTGGGGTTGTGTTCACTTTGACAGGGTTATTTTTACCAAATGCTGCCTTGAATCCTTGTTTTCCCAACGGCGTCCAGCGCCTCCCCCTGCAAGGCGGCCTCCTCCTCGCGCTCTCTGTTGCGCCAGTGAGTCAGCCGGAGGACTGGCGGCAGCAAGGAGTCTGTGTGACAGGATCTTGACCTTGCTCTGAAATCCGAAAAGAACAAAATAGTTTAACCAGTTAAACCTGTTCTGTGGTAACTGATCCATAACTAAGAGTTAAAAATTAATTGTTCAATTACTCATCTATCTTAAATACTAGATACGAAAGTTTATTAATTCACTTTATAATTTTCCATGCACTATTCAAATGTTTTATTCTGCTAATATTTGCCTATTTTTGTCTTGTATTCTTTATTCACATGCAGCCGGGCAGTGCGGTGAGCACAGGTATGGTAGCTAGACACGCCGGTCATGTGTGTACGAGACGCCTGTGGCAGCTGCCTCGGTCGGTGCATGTGGAAGTTGCGTTTCCTTGTGCCTCTGCCTTGTCACGTTCTAGATGTAAACTGACATCTCCTAGAGTTATTTTGTAAATTCCACATTAATACGTGTTTGTTTTCATCAGACAACTTTTAGGGCTTAGTTAGTATCAGATAATAAAATTAGACTTAATTCCCTTTCATTATTAAAAGCAAATACTGTGTTTCCTTTTCCTCTCATCACACTGTTATATTCAAATTACTCTTCTTGCTATTTGCTAAAGAAAGTTTTAACCTAATACTGGATTAACGAGGACACTGCTTGGTGATCACAGTGATAGAACAGCCATACAAGAAGCAGGCCTGTGAGGCGGGAACTGGCTTTTTATAGGGTTTTGTCCAGAGCCAGCCACTTGTCTGAACTAGCTAGAGGTGGCTCTGTATGTCTGTGTATCTACACCTCTGGCTGTCCACACACGCACGAGTGTGGGTGTATGCAGTAGATACAGAGGGGACTGTACTGACATTTGTCTGTGTAATGTCTACAAAAGGCCGGCCTCTAAGTATTTGACATTTTCCCATGGATTTGACTCACAAGTATCCAGTACAAATGTTATTTTCCCCTTTTATTTTGAACTACCTTGATTTTGATTTTTCTCTTTCACCTCCACAACATTGTTGTTTGTACGGGAGTTAAAATCACCCAGTGGGAGACGCATGGAGTTTGGCTGCGTGGGAAAGTCTCTGGGGGTGGAGCCAGCGCCAGGGGACAGGAATGCCAGGCTAGCACAGGGCCACGAGCTGGAAATTACTAGGGGCATATAGTCATTTAGAATTTGGATTTACTTGGCTGATGAAAGGATTGGCAAGTATATTTTTTTGGAAAATGTGTCCACCGTCACCCAGTTTAATTTGTGCATTTGTGACTGCGTCCTTCATCTGTATTTTAGAGATGATCTCTTTGATCCTAATGAGGATTTTGCATTTCAGAGCATATGGGGTTCATGACCCCTTTTCTTGGGAATTAAATTCTCAACTTACTAATAAGACCCTAATAAATGGAACCGAGTGCTTTTTGTTGAGTTAAGAAATAACAGCGCTTGGGAGTTATTCTCATCACGTGCCACTGTATTATGATGTGGACAGTGTTAGGAATTCGACCGAATGGTCACTTGCTCATTTCAGAACTACAGGGGCTAGACGTTTTGTGGCCAAATGCCTGATCCCGGTAGTTGCACATTTTATCTATTTCCTCAAAGCCAACTAATAGTAAATACGTTTAATTAGAATTATAGAGAATTAAGAGTTCACCCTCACCTAAATAACCGAGCTTTCATTTCAGTAGTGATTGGTAGTGACGCAGTCACGTACCTCGTACATGTTGGCTTGTTTGTGTTTAACATGTAAAAGTGCAGGTGAACCCTGCTTTCCCTTCATGTGGACTCAGTGCTTGTGACTATTTCCACAAGTAACTTTTCTGCTCTGTAACATGCCATGTTTTAATCTTTTATTGAAATGGGTTATTTCCTGTTGATATCCTGGATATAGTAATTTTGAAATAGGAATCATAAGCAACAGTGTATTGTAAACTAAAATGACTAGGTGATTTTTTTTCTTTCTTTTTAAAGATTTATTTTGATTTTTACAAGCACTGGGGTACATGCCAGAGGCGCGGGAGGGTGAGAGAATTCACCAGAGACAGAACAGGGAGCAGAATAGGCAGAAGGACCGAAATATACTGCTGAGGAGAGCAGCAGGAGAGGTCTGCCGTGCCGTGTGGGTATCTCCCTGGACGGCCGTGAATCAAACCAGCACTGCAGAGGCTGTGGACAGCTTCACAGCGCTATGTTCAACCTGCTGCACCACCAGGGAGGCCCTAGGTGATTTTTATTTCTAACATAGGTGATATACCCTCCTAGATGTTGTTGTTTCCTACACCAAACTTTATAGCAGAATCCTTCTTTTTTAAAGTAAGCATGGGAATAAGGAGAGCAGGGTCAACATTTGCCTTATAAAAGAACAGTTTTCCTTTCTATTTAACCTAAGGGTAACTGTGGTGTAAGCAATTCAATATCAATAATAAAATCACTCGTAAGAAGAGTAGCAGCTGGCACCACTCATCAAATGATGCTTTACACACACTGTGGGCTTTATCTCTCAGAGCAATTCAAAATAATACGCATATTTAGGTACATTTTATTAGGCATATAGTAATAGCTTTTGAACCTGCAACTTCTGAGAAATTCTGAAGGCTTAAAAAACAGCTTAAAAAACAACCTCCTTAGAAAGAGAACTGGTTGTTAATAAAAAATAAGTCTAAATTGCAAAGTCATAGTAATTCAAAGCTAGGAGAGAATTTGAATACAATTCTATTGACTTCCAACCTGATTCTGGGCAAAGTGAGTTGGGGAACAAAGTGAGTTGAAGAGCTTTGCTGAAATTCAGCCCTTGTTCCGATGCTGGGTGTTGTTAGGGTGCTGGGTGTTGTTCTGATGCTGGGTGTTGTTCCGATGCCGGGTGTTGTTAGGGTGCTGGGTGTTGTTCCAATGCTGGGTGTTAGGGTGCTGACGTTCCGGCGGGCCTCTGAGTAGCTGCGCGATGAGTGGCTTCTGGATGAGTGGAGGGGTTGGATCCGAGTTTGTGTGTGTGCTCGGGGGTGTACAGGTGCAGCAGGCAAACTGGTGATGAAAGGCGGAGAGACAGGCCAGAGGAGGCCGGAGCTTGTGATCAGCAGCACGGACACGTGGTCATCATTGACAAGAGGGAAGGGGGCTGATGGGGAAGGCGCTGCCTCAGGCACTGAGATGGGAGTGTTTTCCTTAGTAAGCATGTGGGGGTTTGAGAAGTTCCAGGTCACATCTTAGAATTCTGAGATTAGAGGGAATCTCAAAATTAATCTGTTGTAACTGCCTGTTAAATACAGGACACTAGTGTATGTGAACTGTGGCTTATTAGAAAGTGCTTAGATTCTGCGAGATTCCTAGATTCCAGAAGATTCTCAGATTCTTCTTAGATTAAAAGCTGTTTGAGACTATGGCTATTTGACAATAGTGTTTTACAAGGACTCATTTAGTAATTGGTAATGTTAAATATAATCTCTACATGAGAATGGAGGGAGTGGAAAAATTAGGTTTTGTCTTTTTAGTTAGAAATAAAGTCTGAAAAATAGTTTGAAAATTTATGTTTCAAGCAGCAGGAGAATAGTGAAGGTCGATACTTCAGCTGTATATATTATAGAATAGCTCCTTAAAAGATTGTAACATTTCACCTACCCGATTCTAAAAAGGCATCCAATCCTATCTCCCTCTACAAACAGCAGTTTTTTCCATTTCTTGGTGTTTTTGTCATGATTTTTACTTTTCTTTAAAGATTTATTTATTTATACAAGAGCTGGGGTATAGGTCAGAGGCACGGGAGGGTGAGAGGATCCACCAGAGACAGAGTGGGGAGCAGAACAGGCAGAAGGACCGAAAGCACTGCTGAGGGAGCAGCAGGAGAGACAGGAGAGGTGTGCCGCGCCACGTGGGTATCTCCCTGGCCCCCCGGGAATCGAACCTGCCCTGCAGAGGCTGCGGACAGCTTCACAGCACTGTGCTCAACCCACTGTGCCACCGGGGAGGCCCTGTCATGATTTTTACTTTAATGGCTGTATCCTACTGAATAAAAACGTATTACCTTTTCATCGTGAGGCATGAAGAAGTCGGCGCTTGCAGTCCCCCCTAGAGAAAGCTGCTGTCTCCTGCTGCTGAGGACTTGTTCTGATGAGTGCTCGTCCCAGCCCTTCTTTCCTGGCCTCTTCCAGTGTCGCCTCTGGGCAGCTACTGTGAAATGGGATGTTCTAGGACCTGGTCCCTAAGGCTACATCAGAGCTTCTGTTGATTTCCTCAGTAGGTTTCTGGCCTGTGTGCAGTGCTGCGGCCCTGCCCCTGGGTGTGTTGTGATTGGAGGGGCCCGTTCTGGGAGAGAAGGGCTTCCTGGCCCCTCCGGCGGCCACCACCCACGCTGGCCAGGAGAGGGCAGTGGAGGGCTTCCCCCGCCTGGCAGGACGCCCATGGAGCTGGGCCCCATCCTGAGGCCGCCAGGGGGCCCAGCTGGCATGTTTTGTCCATTTGTTTATGTAACTGGTCTGTTTACTTTAAAGCCAACGCTGGAGTGGCATGATGCAGTCTTTGACTTACTAGGTCCCTAAGTTTTATTCCCTTCAGGGCCATCCGTGTTGTTGCAAATGGCAGAATATTCTCTTTCTCACAGCTGGCTGGTATTACATGGGTCTGCAGACCACATTTTTTTTTTACCCATTCATTAATCGATGGGCGTGTGGGTTGTTTCCAGTTGCTAGCTATTGTGGACAGTGCTCCGGTGAACATGGAGATGCGT